CGTGCACTTGGTAATTAAAATCATGCCTACATCAAGTATTTTCTTTCTGGCTTTTCTAAAGAGAAAGAAAAATAATCTCCTAACCATTTCCTACCTCCGTGGCTAAAACAAAACCCAGCCGTGTCATCAAAGGGAGCCTCCGGCTGGTCTCTCAAAGAGTGTCCTCTTGGGTGGTAGAGCTGGAAAGAGCTCTGGAGATCATGGCTGAGGCTAGCTGTCCCCCTCAGTCCTTTTCACCCAACATGCTTGGTGCTGGCAGGTGACGTTGGAGCCAGGTCATGTGTAAGTGAGCATTTTCTTCGGACAACCCACTCCTCTCTCACAGCACAAGGAAGCAACAACTTCCAGTGGGCCTGAGCAAGGGAGGCTGTTTATGATTCCTAAACACACCTGTCTGCACCCCTCCTCTCCCACTTGCCTTCATCCTGCTCCCTCTCTGGTCCCTGTGGTAGGAGACCACTTTATTCTGTGCCCTGTTTTTTGTTTTGTTTTGTTTTGTTTTCCTTCCTTTTCAAACGTATTCACCATTCACGAGTTGGCCTCTTTCCTCACTCTTAAGCTTTCCGATTGCGTTACCTGATGGCAAAGCAGTCAGGCTGAGAGCGGGCTCTGCCGTCAAATGAATTGGGGGAAAATGTAATATGGGTGATTCAAATATAAATCAGCTAAACCTGATGTAATCCAGCCTGCTCAATAATCTACTGTACTTAAGAGCTAAACATCTTGAATTTAATAATATAGTTATTACGGATTCATTTAATTACTGAGTTATAATTATGCCTTTATAATGCTCTGTCTGCTCCTTGCCACTCTAGGTTTTTCAAAGGCTCTCCTAATTTCTTATAATTATTTTAATGTAGCAATTTCAGAATAATTTGTTTCCATTTCATAAAGATGTGATTGTGAAACAGCCTTTCGGCTCCAATGGTGCATTTTTCTTAAGACAAATAGTGATACTTGTTTTCACACCTCTTGAGATGCTTATGAACCAAATCAAACTGCAGTCATTCATTTATCTATTTGATGAGTCGTTTCTGAGTGCCAACTATGAGAGGCAAACTCAATAGCAACCCTGAATAATTCCTATCTTGATTTTTTTTAAGGATTCTTTCTGTATATAATCTCTCTTTAACCTTTAGTAGATGTTTTAAGTTGGCTGAACTCAGAAAATCCTCGGACTATTTTTAAAATTTTATCTTTTTTGTCTTATGCTGTTTTGAGAATCAGAGAAAGATAGGAAATTTTCCAGCCAAATTCAGGACCCCAAATACATACGAAACTTTGCCTATCAGTGGTTCGATGGGGCCCGCCAGAAGTCCCTTGGGATACAGAGATCCCAGGATGAGCCTGCTGCCACAGGAACTATTTCATTCCAGCTGCAGCCTGTGTTTGGAGAAGTCCCAGAAGATAATTCTGAGCAGCATACTCAGGTCAAGATTGCCAAAGACCAAGGCAGGAAATTAACTTTCTACTATATGCTCTGGGAAGCCGCTGACAGTTTCTGCAAAGAGCAGGCTTCTGGAAAAGTAATCTAGTAAGAGTATAAAGTACAGATTTGAAGGCAGGAGGCAAGGGGTGAGAATATAGGTTTGGAGACTTGTAAAATCTGGACGAGCAACTGTAAGACTGTAAATTCAGGTAAGAAATGGGGAAAAAGTGATGGAAGTGAAAGAGAACGTGACCTTGTGGGAATCAGATCACCAGACTATGTTGATGTGGCCTCTCTCCTGGACTCAAAACCTCTTTGCTGTGGTTTCCCACAATTGCCTCTACCTATGTGGCTCCACCCAACTACCCGCATTGTTGAAGAAGCACCAACTCACACAGCCGACACCGTATTAGACTTCCTTTCTTATTCCTTACTGTAGCTGTGTTTTGTTTTTTGTTTTTTGTTTTTTTGTTTGTTTTTGCCTTTTTTTAACCACTTTCCTTAGCCATTCTGCAACCCAAACTTACTTAAGACTTCTGAGTCTTTTATCTTCTTCCTTCCACCTCCAATAATCCATTTTACCCATTGCTGCTAGATTAATCTCCCTGAGGCCCACATCTGATCTGTGCCTTTGTGTTCAGAGACCTCAGTTCAAACTTTCAATTGCTCAGCGTAAAGTCTTCCTACGACTAATGCTTCTCCGTGTACTTTTGACCCCACCTCCTGGTCTCCTTCCTAAGAACTCTGTTTCATAAATTTCTCAACCTCTTTCCTACATCTTCCATCCCTCACTCTCTACTGGCTCTTGCAGCTCAACTTCTGGCCAGATCCAGTCTCCCCTCTCCCAACCTGGCAAATTTCCTCTCAACAGGAAATAAAATCCAAACCCCTACAGAGCCTTTGCAAAATGGCTGCATTATCTGGCTCTGAAGTCCTTGTCATTGAGCCACCATCCTATCCCACTTCTTCCTTCTTTACAATACATAAAATTACCACATTGACCTAGTAGTGAAAACCAACAATGTTGGCCATCCTTGCTACTAAGCGCTGCTTCACGTTTATCCAGGAAACGACCAAATCTGCCGATACTCCCACCTGCCTGAGTCTCATCTTTTGTCTCTGTTCCTCTGTCACTGCTCTGCTTGGATCCTGGTTACTGAGATTGCAGTGGCCTCCTTATTGTTCCCTCTGCCAACTGTTTCTTCACACTTCAGTCAGGGTCCTCTGGCTGCTGCAGCGATATGCCTAGAAACAAATGTAATTGCATGGTGACCATGTAACTTCCCAATCAGGCCGACCTTCCCCCCGGGACCCTTGACCTTTAATGGGTTCCACTTGTTCTTTTATTTTTTCCCCCAAAGCATGTAGCTCCTAGCATACTCTATAATTTACTTGGTTTCAGTGTTTATTGTCTGCCCCCTCCCCCACCTCCCCACGTAAGCTCCACGAGTTGGTATTTTTATCTGTTTTGTTTACCGATGTAGCCTAAGCACCTGGTATAGAGTGAGCAGGCAGTATATATTGGTTGAATGTAATGTCAATTCCCTGTTTTTAAGTTCTCATCCTCATCCCTCTGCTTGGAGGATAAACCTTTCAAAAGCTTCCATGGTCTGGCTCTAGGCCCTCCCACCCCCATCTCTCACCACTGGTGCTTTATCTCATGAAAAGTAACTGATGTTTCAGGTTCACTGAGGTCCTTAAAGTGTCCAGGCGTCTCATGCTCTTTCACTCTCTGTTCATTGAGGCTGTTTCTCAACTCCCAGGGATCCACTCTTCCCTCTTCCCCTTGCAGGGAGAACAGTCCTTCTTCTTTCAAAACCGAGCCCAAAATGACCTCCCTTGGGTCTTCTCCAACACTGTGAAGCAGAATTAGTCGGTTTCTCCTCTTTGCCTCTGTTGAGTTTTACTTTGTCGCCCTGTTGTGGCGTGTTTTTACACACTGATCCTCCCGCTTGAGGTCTCTTCCTCAAGACCCTGTGCTCAAGACGGTGTCCAGTACTTCTGTGTGTCTTCCCCAGGAATGATCACAGCATCTGACAGAGAATTAAGTGACCACTTGACTAAATGATTGGAAAAAGGAGCTCCCAGTGCATTGAACACATAGTCAAAGGTTTAAATGTCCTCTTCATTGCAACATGCCCAAATCATCGCTGCCCTCACCCCCAAACCTGTGCCTACCCCTGTGTTCCCTGTCCCAGTGAATGAAGGGTGCCGCTCTGCTGACACGCACCTGGGAACTGGGAATGGTCTCCTCCTGTCCTTCAGGTCACTCACTCAGTCTCTAAGCCCTGCTGACTTCCCTTCCAACACGTCTCTCGAGTCCGTCTACTTCCTCTCAGTCCTGCCGCCAGGAGCCTTTACCAACCCATCACGCCTGTCACTGATACAATGGCCGCTGTACCCTGCCTGGCACACGGTCGAGGTTCCATACGTACTTGTTGAATGAATGGGTCTCCTGAGTTAAAACCATTTCAGACCACAACAGGTAGACCGTCAGGCCACAGGTTGAGCTTGCAAGGACTGCATAAGTCACAAAACTCTGGGTGATTTTTCTGAGGGACAGTGATTGAGGCGAAACAGAGTGATTTGGGATTTGCCACAGCTTCAGATGTAATTTTCCTTTCTGGAAAATTGAGTTCCTTCCACTCCCTTGATTTTTGCCAATGAGGTTATTTTCTCGGATTATTTCTTCTTAAAAATTCAAGTTTGGGTATATTTACCTCACTGGAATACATAAATCCTTGTGTAACTTGGAAAAGAGTTTGTAATATTTATTCCATGTGGCAAAAAGCGGATGTGATGATTGTGGCCTTTCATGGAGCATCCACTAGGCATTAAGAGATCTAAAGTCTTAATATACTCAAATGTTCAGTTATTGGGATTAATCTAGATGTTCCCCAAAGATACTCCCAGTTCTCAATTTCTAGGAATTTTTTTTTTTTTTTTAAGCAAGACTCCAGGAGAAAAAGTACTGGTGGAATTAAGGCAATTGTAAAATCTGATGGAAATGTGAGTGATTCTGGAATCAGTCAGTAACCCTAAGGTAGAGCCACTTGCTTAACAGATTTCAGGGCTTCTGAGGGCCTGGGGAAAGGAGGGTACTAGAAAGTGGAGAGCAGTGGGTGTGGAGACATTGGCTTTGGAATAGACAGTTGACAAATGTTTTCTCCCTCCATTTTTCTCAGCAGACAGTGCTATAGCGATTGCATCTGCCAAGTCTCATTTGAGAAATCGCTGGACCAGTAGTTACACTGACGCTCACTTGAATCTTTTGATGGCCTCTCCTTGCCTCATTGGGGAGTTTCTGATGTGTCAGGAGAGCCCTCCCCACCCTCCTCCTCAAGTCTAAGTGAAGGTTGGGGTGTTCTGAAGCACTGGTCCTCGGCCGACTGTCCCCAGCCTTTAGAACATATCGGAATGACTTCCATTCCAAAAGGCAAAAAGAGAAACGGAGCTCTGGTCATGTGGTTTCTGTTATCTGTAACCATGGAAAACACTGGCCATCTGTGAGGTTTCCATTTTAACACTTTTTTTCTCTCTCTATTTCCATCTCTTTCTTGGGAAAAACAAGCTGAGGAAGTGGAGAGGCTGGCTGCCATGCGCTCTGACTCCCTGGTCCCAGGGACCCACACCCCCCCCATCCGGAGGAGAAGTAAGTTTGCCAACCTGGGGAGGATTTTCAAGCCTTGGAAATGGAGGAAGAAGAAAAGCGAGAAGTTCAAACACACATCAGCAGGTAAGATGATTTGTTTTTTCTTGCATTTCTCATTGGGTGTTTGTTGACTTCAACTCTATATCTCAATTAGTAGAATTTAATTACTATAGGCTGTCTGAACCAAAGGGAAAAATCAAGCCTTAGGATTGCTCTTGTCTTTAATAATTCTTCAATATGATGAAGAATGACTTTTATATCCTATGTGTTTTCTTGTATCTCAGGGCTTTTTTGTTTGTTTGCTTTTTTTAAGTAAAGAACTACTACTTTTATATGATCTATAAATAATCTGAATTTAGAACCCCACCTTTTCTATCATTGAATGCTTTCATTCTAGCATTGACAATCCATTTCTTATTGTTCATCCTATTTTCACTTCTCCAGTAAAAGTGAACACACAGCGGAAAATAAGTTATATATGGTCGTTGGCAGATAAGAATAGGTTATTTCATGGAGGAAAAATCTTGAGTAAATGACTCTTGGACATGGCAGGGAAACAGAATGGAAATGAATCATCATTGTAGTGGCAGAGGTAACTATGCAGTTCCTAGCTCAGTGGACAGCAAAGAAATGTGGAGAAAGTCAGCACCACTAAGGTAGTAAGAGCATAGATCCTGAAGTTAGGCTGCTGGGTCACATCTTGGCTCTGACACGTGCCAGCTATGTGACCTTGCTCAAGTTATTTAATGCTGTACCTCAATTTCCTTGTCAATAAAATAGGGGTAAGAATAGCACCTCACTAGGGTTAATATTTATGGAGAGTTTATGTGGTGCCTTAGCCAGATACTTTTTAAATAAGTAGGGAAAGACATGAAGAGTTGTGATTTCACCCTGTTGGGTTTGAGATGAGTTGGTGGAAGAGCTACGCAGATTCTTTTTGGTTTTTTGTCTTAGTCTGCTTGGATAGCTTACACAATAGAAATTTATTTCTCACAGTTCTGGAGGCTGGAAATCCAAGATTAAAGTTTTGGTGAAGTAGGTTTTATTCCAAGGCCTCTTCTTTTGGCTTGTAGGTGGCCGCCATCTTTCTGGGCACACACATGACCTCTTCATTTTGTATGCACAGAAAATGTAAACTCTCTAGAGTCCCTTTTTATAAGAGCACTAATCCCATTATGAGAGCCTCACCCTCATGATCTCATCTAACCCTAATTACCTCCCAAAGATCCCCCTCTTCAAATACCATCACCCTAAAGGAGTTAGGGCTTCAGCATAGGAATCTGGGAGAGACACAAGTCAGCCTGTAGAACTTTGTTGTGATTTTTCTAACTATGTGCCCAGTCATCCCCAGGCCTACCCCAAGGCTTTCATTTCCTTCTTCTACATCCTCAAAAACTCAACCTACCTTCTCTTCTACTCAGAATCATCACCTCCTCTATTTCTTGGATTTCCTCCCTCCTTGTCTCACCCCCAAACTAACCTTGAAATAGGAGATGATCTGCTTCTTGTACCTGAATGTCAGTCTGCAGATCTGAGAATATTAATCCTAATTGCTTTGGGGAAAGAAAGAGAATAACAGAAAAGTTGCAAAAAGTCTTGAAATCTTAAACGGTTCTCATGATAGACATCCCTGTTCATGTTCTGTGATTTTGTTTCTTAAATGGAAACCCTAACACCCTACTGTCATAGTTTGTTAATTCCTGAGATAAGAATGAACCTCTGAATTTTATGAATCTCTAAATCATCACCCTCTCACTGAGTCCCTCCACCCTGACTCTTGCATTCTCCACTCTCTGTCATTGCACAGATCCCTTAAGGTGTGATAAAATAAAACCTGTTGGTCATTCATACATTCCT